CTTTCCCTTCAAAGCGACTTTACCACCCACAATTCCTGCAGCAAAAGAACACAGATATGGGAAGTGCATTTCCAAAACCAGCTTTGAAAGATGAAGAAATAATTATGGTGTAGTAGGAAGTGGAAATGAGAGAACTCTAACATGTTCAAGAGCCCTTTTTTTTGTGCAATAAAGTCCTCCATGAATGACAACAACTTTGTGTGTGTGTGTCTGCGTGTGTGTGTATATTAGCGGTAGTCACTTTTAAAAGCAAACAGACCTGATCCCAAGCAAGTCTCATTTTAATTCCTTATTCAGTTTATTTCTCATATCTTTGATCCTCCCCAAAGGAACGACATTCTACAAAGTTCCTAGCTAAGTTCTCTAAGATCAATTAATTCCCACAATGACTCCCTTAAACTTGTTTCAGCTCATCAATTGAAGGACTCTTCAAGAATCCACAAAACAAATTAAGGAGGAAGAGATTTCAGAGAAAGGAGAGAGATAAATAAGGACAGCCAGCACTCAGAAAAGATAAAGAAATCAAATATATGTGGGCAAATACCGTTAGCCTAGGGAAGGTTGGAGGATGAACAAACGGATGTAGACTCAGATTTGACCAAGAGTTTTTCTTATGGAAGTGAAAGACACTTCTAAAGGATAAAGTGGGGTTTTTTTTTTTGCAAAACTGTTATGTCTACTTTGAAATATTCCAACCATTCTATTGTTAGTTTTAAGTAAATTAACTCTTAACGAAAAGAAATCACCTGGATGGATCCCTTTTTGAACCTACTATTGAATCTTACTATATTCACTTAAAACTCCAATTATTAGCTCATAATATTCTAGAAACCACACTCCTGTGTACCAACTATACCAGCACCTCGTGGTGCATTGCACTGGGAAAAGGGGGGACTCCAAATGTCTACAAAAGACCCTGATTGTGGCTGGTTCCATTGCTCCTGGTTCTTCGTTTATTCTACTCTGCCATGTCCATAGCATATCCATAGATGCCTCTTTCTTTCCCCCACCCCCCATTCCTTTTTCTCTTCCTGTGCCTCTTTCTCCTTCCTTTCCCTTTCCTCATCGAGGGCATCCATCTCTGCCTTTGGTCCCCAGTCATGTGCCTGAGAATCATCAGAATGACTCGGGATTTCCCAAGTTCTTCACTATTGATGACTGTGGCTGGATCATTCTTTTTGGCAGGGGACTATCCCATGCACTGTAAGATGTTTAGGACATTGCTGGCCTCGGCTCAATAGACTCTGGTAGTATCACCTCCCCTAGTCATGACACACAAAAATGTCCAGTTGCCAAATGTCCCATATGAGAGGCAAATCTCCCCCAGCTGAGAGTTAACTAGAATGGTTGAATGTGCCTCTACTACCTAGTAACTTTATGACTTGGGGTTAAGAACGGATATGGTGAAATCCAGGGTAGGAGTGGAGAAGGGATTATCTTAAAAAGCATCTTTATCAATAGATAGGCAGAGTCTAATTTCTTTATGAATTCTAGTTTATTTGCCATGGTCAAGAATATCCTGACTTTGTAAGCACAATGCATTTTGCTTGTTTAAATTATCTGTTACAGGTTACATGAGATGCCATTAGGATGAAGGGGCCTTTGTATTTTGACCTCAGAGATGGTGTAGGCAGGAATTTTCAGCAGGCTATAAATATCCAACACACTCTTGTATAACGCATTATGCCTTGTTAGGTTAGTACAAGGTGTCATTTTTGAGCCTTAATGCTTTGTTGACAATTCACTATGAATCTGGGAAAGGAAGAAGCCAAAGCGATGAAATGCTCAAATGGCTAGGAACTGTCACACAGCTCACTAAAGGTGCCTTGGGCGCTTGTACACCTTTCTAAAGGCTGGTTTTCTCTTGAGTATCTTCTAGCCTTAAGAAGCAGTCACCTAGAATCCCAACTGCAAATTAGTGAGCTAACAAGAACTTCTCAAGTTTTGAAACTCACTGGCATTTCTTCGTGCTTCAAGGTTAATTCTTCAGGCATATTTAGTGCCATCTCATATTCAAGAAATTTCATTAAAAAGCTTTTAAGGCCTTTTGCGATCCATGTTTCTGACAGGTTTTTCTCCTGCACCACCCCTTAACTCCCACTGAGACAGACTAGAGATTCTGATATTACCCATTTCTGCATTAGAAAACAAAAGATTCAGTATTAAATCTCCTGCCAGCTGGTTCTGTCGCTTTCTGCATAAAACTAAAAGTACCTGTAGCCCGTGTATTTTAGATGCATCCTCACAAAAATAGAAAAATCAATCCACGTCATCTCAGACCCTCAACAGCACTTGACACATTTCATTAGTTCTTCAATTTTGAAATATGTTTCCCTCTTGGCTTTCACGATATGACCTTCCTTGATGTTCAGCTTTCTCCTGCTTGTCTCCGTGTCCGTGACTCTGCCTGCCTGATCGTTCTCTTAAACTTGTGCTTTTCTTGATTAATCAGTAGACGCAGATATGACACGGTGCCCTCTTCTTTATCAAAACTGTCCCCGGGTGATCTTCCCCCCTAGGGTTTTGAGTACCATCTAGTTGCTAGTGACTCTCTCATTTCTACCTCTGGGCCTCTGTTTTTCATTGAGCTTTAAAATTCACACGTCCACATTTCTACTCGGATCTAAGAGGCATATCGAAATGAGTATGACTGAAATAGAACTCTTTATTTACCATCCCTCCAACTCCTTCATCCTCCTGACTGCTCGAGATCCCAGCCAAATGTGAATGTTTACATCTCCCAACTCCTTGCCTCACCCGGCTCTCCTTTGCTCTGCTCAGAGAAAATTTCTCACCACCGTCTCCATTTTCTGGCCTTGTTAATTCAAACACAGGCTCTCTCAGTGAAGCCTCCTGTTTAATGAGCAGACCCTGGGCTTCTCCTGATATCTCACTCCAGCCTTCCCTTAATATCCAGGGATCCCGACTTTTATAATTCAGGAGCGAAGTGACGCTCCTGACACTCATCTTTGATCGCTGTATCGGTAACCCCATACCGTCAGTGCACAGCACCTGTGAAGTGACGCTGATAATGCAGCAGTTCTGATACCAAGGTTTGACCTGACTGCAGGTAAACGAAAATATTGCAAAATTTTGATAGTCAGATAAATACCATTAATCCCGCTGAATGTTTTTATTATCAAATAATAACTGAAATAAATATCCTTATCAGAGTCTAGAATCTCAACCACCCTCTGATCTCTATGAATATGTACAAACGCGGCACAAAGAACATGGTACAAACTACCCACATATCAAAATTCGCACCAAAATGACTACATCAAATAGCCAGGATAATAAACGCCTTTGTTTCATAAAACTAGTTCGAATATATGTCTGAAATAAGTACTTTGATAAAATTGCAAAGATTCAAAATGTCCATGAGTAAAAAATACAAACTCTTTTAAAAGAAACAGACTCTTAAAACCTTACACCTACCACAGCATCAATTTTAAAAAATAGACATCAGCTCTAACTTTTACAAGCACTGTACTTTTAAAAATAAAATAACATCTAGATGGTGGCTCTAGATAAATAGGCAAATAAAGGATGGAAGGAATTTTGTGCTCTATCTAAAAAATAAAGTGGAAATTTGCTTTTAAATGGTTGGTTAAAAAAAAAAAACTGTCTCAGAAACAGCTTATTTTCCC